CTGTGATCAGGCCTCAAAAACCCCACAAAGGTTTCTAACCAGGAGCCAGACGGCTCAACATCACACGCATCTTGCCCAAGGTCATGGTCTTGAGTGGCAGAGCCTGTCCTTGAACCAGCCTTAAGCTTCTAACCGTGCAGGGAGCTTTCTACCCATTCCCCCGCATTCCTTCAGCTCCTCCACTCACGGAATCGCACACTCCCCGAACCCCAGCGTCTGCCTTGCAAGGTTTTTGCCCGCGGAACCTGCCTGCCCCCCTCGGCTGCCGGGGGGTTGGTGCCCTCGCTTTTACATCTGAGCCCCAGAAGGCAGCAGCCAAAATTGAAAGACGTTGTTATCTACAAGCAGTGACAGATGAATCCATTAGCATTTGTCAGAAAGGCATGGGTTGCTTTATCAAGAGAGCTAAGAAAGGAGCGAAGAACAAATAAACCGCAGGGCAGAATGGGGCGAGAATGTGTGTGCTGGTTCTGAACAAGTGTGGGATATAAATCACGGCTCATCAGGGCTGCTGTGCAAAGGGCAAGCCGGGAGAGCGTGTCCAGGCTGTAGAGGGTGTTCCTCAAACGCCTGTGCGAGAGGAGGCAGGTAGGTGCCGGCACGGTTATCATTTCTTGCAACTTCAGTTTTCCCATCCTTAATGACAGTGGACTATTATGGTGGAACAATGGTGTAGATTAAATGAGGTTAGGTCCGCAAAAGCTTTTAACACGGGTGCCTGGAACAAAGTGGTTACTCAGGAGATGCTGGTTGAGGCACCCATTATTACTTCTAGGAATCTTGCCTTGCTCAAATCCCATAGTGGAAGAAAGCTTTGTCTATGCAGATCTTGCTTCGTGTGTTAATGGGTTCCTGCCAAGTTGTCTATAAATCAGATTTATTGTCAGTTACGAATTAAATTGAAGAGCTTTAAAGTTCTTCCTTTAAAGCTTGGGCGCGTGGTCGAAGGGTTGGAGAGCCCCTCTGTGGGTCTCAAGCTTTCTTTGGTTCCCATTGTAACGGTACGGAGCTTTTTCTCTGCTTCGGTCTGGGCGAAAGGCTGCATCTTGTTTAAAAGAAAACATGCCCAGGGTGGGTAGAACATATGTTAGACGCTCAATGGCACCCATACGGAGCTTGCCCTCTCGTACGAAATCTTCTCCCCGAATGAAGCAGCAGGTGGGAGGGAGCGGCTCATGGTTTGAATAAAAGTAGAAAAAGATAGAAACTTAAACACATAACCTGCCAGGTTGTGCACAAGATGTGCTGGATGGTTTCTTCACACGGGTGGCCAATCAGCCCGCGGGCCAGTGGAGCAGTGATGGGGGCAGCATTAGACAGCTGTCTACCATGGATCCTTCTAGAAAGGGAACTGGGTAAGTTCTTGACTTCCTTTGCTGGTGACTTCATCTCCCAGAAGGTAGAGGAAACCACACGGGGGTCTTCTACTTGGGACTTAAACCAGTAAGGAAGAACTGGCTGGGAATATAAGGGAGAGGCCAGCTTTGGGGGAGAATGAACACCAGCTAAGCAGGGTAGCACGATGGGTAGGGCGTAGATTCTGGAGCATCATCTCCTGGGTCCAGATTCTGCTTCTACTACTTACCAACCATGTTCTTTTACCCTGCCTCGACTCTGGTTTTCCCTCTTTGTAAGGCGAGGATCATACTAGTGCCTACTTCATAGTGTGGTCGCGGAAAGTGGATATATTGATACACTTAGTACATAGTATTAGTACTCAATAAATTTTAGCGGTTAGTGTTATTGTTACTTGAGTTCATGTTTGTGATGGAAAATCTAGATGGACATAATCATAGACTCAAGACTTGAAGGCAATTTTAAAAACCTGAGATCAGCGACGTAGATACTTGAGCCAGAAATTATAAAGGGGAACCTGGCTTAGGACAGATCAGCAAGCTTTTCCTGTAAAGGGCCAGATGGTAAATATTTTCTGCTTTGTGGGTCACGGGGCCCCTTTGCAACTAGTCAACTCTACTATTGATTTAGCACAAAAACAACAGTAGATAATACATAAACAAAAGGGCACATCTGTGTCCAAGAAAACTTTATTTATAAAAACAGGAGGCAGGGCAGATTTGGCGAGAGAACTCTGCATTCCTGAGTCCTTGGCTTACTCAAAATGGGAAACACCGTAATATAAAAGTCTGCCTGTGTAATTTTAAATGTTGTAAGATTAAAGACAAGCAGGCAATCAGCCAACATACCTGCAAAGGGAGCTGTTTACCCCACGTTGAAAGAGGACATGGTTGCAGACGACATATCCGAAAAGGGTTAGTATCCAAAGTATATAAAGAACTTCTACAACTCAGCACCCCCGAAACAAATAATCCGATATTTAAAAACAGGCAGAAGAAATGAACAGACATTTCTCTACGGAAGACATCCAGATGGACGGCAGATACATGAAAAGATGCTCAACACCTCTCATCATCAGGGAAATGCAACTCAAAACTACCCTGTGATGTCGCCTCACACCTGTCAGAATGGCTAAAATCGAAAACACAAGAAACAACAAGTGTTGGCGAGGATGCAGAGAAAGAGGAACGCTCATGCGCTGTTGGTGGGAATGCAAACTGGCGCAGCCACTCTGGAAAAGAGTATGGAAGAAAAATACAAAAATACTACGTCAAAGGGATACATGCACCCCTGGGTTTATAGCAGCATTTTGTGCAATAGCCAAATTATAGGAGCAACCCAAGTGTCCATCCATGGATGAATGGATAAAAGGATATACGTATGATGGAACATTATTCAGCCATAAAAAAAGAATGAAATCTTGCCATTTTTAACTACACGGATGGATCTAGAAAGTATAATGCTTAGCAAAGTAAGTCAGAGGAAGACAAACACCATATGATTTCACTCCTATGTGGAATTTAAGAAGCAGAAAAAATGAGCAAAGGAAACAAAAAGAGAGAGACAAACCAAGAAACAGACTCTTAGCTATAGAGAATAAACTGGTGGTTATCAGAGGGGAGGCGTGTGGAGAGATGGACGAAACAAGTGATGGGGATGAAGGAGGGCACTTGTGACAAGCACGGGGCCACGTACGTGACTGTTGAATCACTATAGTGTACACCCGGAACTAATACAACACTGTGTGTTAACAACGCTGGAATTTAACATTAAGTTAAATTAAATTAAGAAAAGAAATCCTGAGGGGGGGAAAAAAAAGAGAGGACCTGTGCCCCAAAGAAGAGGAATTATATCTTCTGCATATCACACAGTTCAGAAATATATGAAGGGGGCGCCCGGGTGGCTCAGTCGGTTAAGCGTCCGACCTCGGCTCAGGTCGTGATCTCACACTTCGTACGTTCAAGCTCCACATTGGGCTTGTTGCTGTCGGTGCAGAACCCACTTCGGATCCGCCTCCCCTCTCTCTGTCCCTTCCCCACTTGCATACAGTCTCTCTCTCTAAAAAAAACAACAGAGAGAGAAACATTGAAAGAAAATTGAGCCCTCCAGATATTTGTGAATAGTGCTGTAATAAAGCCCATGCAATGGCTTCGGTAACCGTGGCAACATGTTCCATGGGAAAGAGATCTAGACCCAAAGGAAACCCGGCAATACCAATAAAACGACCTAAATGTTCCCGGATACAAACACTGCTTATCTCGAAACAATGTGATTCAGGTCACTGTTGTTTTTTCTTTTTTAAAAAAAATATTTTTTAAAGTTTATTTATTCATTTCAAGAGAGAAAGAGTGAGAGGAAGAAGGGGCAGAGAGAGAGAGAGAGAGAGAGAGACAGAGAGAGAGAGAATCTCAAGCAGGCTCTGCACTGTCAGCACAGAGCCCAATGAGGGGCTCGAACTCACAAGCTGTAAGATCACGACCCGAGGGGAAACCGAGAGTCGGTCGCTTAACCGACTCAGCCACCCAGGTGCCCTGTTATTTTCTCGATTGTACTTTGAGTAGTTTTTATTATAAGCAGACATTACTTTCACTTTTTAACTTTTTAAGTCTGTTTATATATCTTGAAGCAGAGAGAGAGAGAGAGAGAGAGAGAGAGAGTGCAGGAGGGGAAGAGAGAGAAGGAGACAGAGAGAATCCCAAGCAGGCTCTGCACTGTCAGCACAGAGCCCGCCGCAGGGCCCGAACTTGCCAACTGTGAGATCTTGACCTGAGCAGAGATCAAAAGTCTGGGGCTCAACCGACTGAGCCACCCGGCCCCTCCAAGCACACATTACTTTTAAAATCAAAGGAAAGTGAAAGCTACTTAAGGTGGGGGAAGCTTCTTAGAGGAGCAACCTTAGGGTGGATGCTTACAAATTACATGACAGGTTTCCACTCAGCACAAATAGAAGTTTCTCACTGTAATGGTCTGATCTGCAAACCAATGAGTGTGCACTGTGGCCGACATTGATTGCTTCCCCGTCGGCCATCTTCTTACCTTCCATTTCTGACGGTAGAACTTGCGTCCTAGTAAACACCCGATACTTCCTTACCAGCTTCCCTTGTGGTTATGACATGGGTAAGCCACACCATCCTGGCCAAGGAGAATTGCTGAAAAATACGCTAAGTGGCTCCCAGGAGAGGTTGTGCGTGTGTGTGTGTGTACACGTTTGCATGCATTTGTCGCATGAGGAGAAACGTCAGCCTTCCAGGGTGTGATGTGGTCATGTGTGGATGTGGTGTTTGGTGCAGCGGCAACCATTTTCTCACCATGAGGAGCGAACCCCCAAGGTTGCCATCCAACACTCTGTGATGGTAGACCAGGAGGACAGAAAGGGAGGGGTCCTTGATTCACTGAACTCTAACCATCCCTTCTCTGCATCTTTAGACTTCTGGAGAATCATGTGCCTACTAAGGATTCGTTTCTAGTTCAGGATCGCGGCTCCTAATGGTTTCATCCTCTCTAAAATATTCCCACAGAGGCCTGTTTGTTGGTGGCATTCCTCAAATTATCTAAATGTTAAGTCAGGCCTGAGAACGTCTCCGCGTTCCTGAGTCGCTGGGCTCTAAGTGTCTCAATGCAAAGCCTTGCAGCAAGGGGCCAGATCGCAGTTTTAAAATTTTTTATTATTTCGTGTCACTAGATTTTGTTGCTTTAACTATTGGGGGGAATAAAGGCATTTTAATGTGACTCGCTGCCTTCTCTTTCGCGGGGTTGTTGTCATCCTTTCTGGCGCCCGGCTCCGTGGAGGACAGGGATAGAACGTGGAGGTTCCCATCCGCGGGGCGTGGGGTGCCCATTCTCTGCACGTGCGGATTCGTGGGCAGGTCTCGGGGAAACGACAGTGTTCGCATCTCCAGGTGGCAGAGAATAAAGGCAATGAAATAGAGTGTGGGGGTGGGGAGCCCTGGCTCCAGTGCACGGGTTCGTATCCCGGCTCTGCCCTGACCGCTGACGGCCTTGGGCAAGTTGCTTACCACATCTCACCTTTTCTTGCTTCGTGGGTATCGTGAGGGTGATGTTCACAAGGTAGAGGTCATGAAGGTTAAGGATTGGAGGTAAGGTCTTTAGTGACGAGGCAGCATGAGGGTCAAATACAGGCTGCCCCCCACACGCCCCGCAAGGGGAATATGTGCGATATTCCTTGGACACACTCTCAGCTACCCAAGAACAAAGGAAAGGCGTTTAAGTGCTTGCCATGGTGATGTGGGAAACTAAGGCAAGAAACACTTAAATTCCCTTACTCCCTGCAGCCCGTTGACAAGTCCTTGAAACCAGCAAAGTGACCTCCCTCTAGGAGCTCAACTGCGTGGATAATGGCACTTCGCTGGGGGCAAAAGAGAACCTTAGCTTAACGTTAGCCCAACCTTGAGGACCCTGTAACTCTATTTCCTTTATCTCAACTGCCCCCAGATACATGCTGGCAACCAGACTCCAGGCTTATGGCCCCCTGATCTACATCTGAAGGGTCTCATGACTGAGGTTGTATTAAACGGTGGCGTTTCCCTAGCAACAGCTAGCCCCTCAAGGTCCTGGCAAGGTTTCTTCCAAAATCCCTTAGGGACTTCCTCTATCCCTGACCCCCTGCCAACCTGAGGGTGTATAACGAGTTACCCGTCGGGACCCCAGGGCAGCTCTTCCTACCCCCGTGCTTTAATAAAATCACCTTTTTGCACCAAAGACGTCTTCAAGACTTCTTTCTTGGCCATTGGCTCCAGACCCCATGAAACCCCCCATCACCCAAAACGCCATCGTTTAGCACCGCACCTGGTGCGCGATGTGGGCTCAACACATTGGCGCTGCTGTTCCCAATTCACGCCAGCGAGCTTCTGGTTTAATGGGTTTGGGGCAAAAAACTGGGCGTTAGCATGGCTAATCACCCAGGTGATTCTGAAGCTCAGAAAAGGTTGAGAGCTACGGGGGAGAAGAAAGGTCCAGAGCTGGGGTGTAAGGCGCACTCCTGAGCTGTGCTGGGCTACAGGTGGCCTTGCCACACTGGCTCCCTCCAGACACACGGCTGACGTGAACAAGGTTGGGAAGGAGTGCCCCAGAAAGGTGGTGAACAGAGAATTTGTTAAGGAAGGAAATGCCAAGGCCCCACCCAAACCCTCTGAATGGAAATCACTGTAAGCCTGGAAGTCTGCATTTTTTTATTAAAAAAATTTTTTTTAATGTTTACTTATTTTTGAGAGACAGAGAGAGACACAGCATGAACGGGGAAGGGGCACAGAGAGAGGGAGGAGCAGAATCCGAAGCAGGCTGCAGGCTCCAGGCTCCGAGCCAACGGCACAGAGCCCGACGTGGGGCTCAAACCCGCGAACTGTGAGGTCATGACCTGAGCGGAAGTCAGACGCTTAACCGACTGAGCCACTGGTGCCCCTGGAAGTCTGCATTTTAATCAGGCTTCCCACGTGATTCATATGCACACTCAAATTTTAGGATCATAAGAAGCTATGTCTAGAAAGTATCACAAAGACAGCACAGTAATCGTTTTAAGGAAATGCATTTGGGGATGGTCCCACTCAAATTGACTGGAGTCCAGAGGGTCAGAGGTGAGGAAGGGGAACGGGAGCCAGAACCTTCTTCCTTTATCACAGAAACTTCCCTTTCCCAGAGCCCTCTCTCTCCTCTTATTTCAGAACACCACACCTGCAACCACTTGCCTTCGGAACTTGCCCAAACCTCAGGTTACCGACCTTTAGGTAGGCTACAGTTCATCTCTTGTGGTAGATAGGATCACGGTTCTCAGTTCTTTACTCCCTCCTACCCTGCGAACTTGCGATCAACAGAAGAGGAACGAGCCACTTTCTCTGCAGGCCAGCAGGTAAGAAACATAGACGGTAGCCATGGTAAAAGCCGGCAAATTTTAGAGTAGTTTGTTACGCGGCATTTTTGCGGCCGCCGCTGACTAATGCATTTCTTAAAAAAGACAAAGAATTGGGGGTTGTCGCCGTTCTCCCTAAAAGACTTAAAAAGCAAAAACAAAAAACGAAAAGCTTTTCCAAGGAGAAGGGGGCTCACCGTGGTGGCGAGGGCCTGGAAGGGGCTGAAGATCTTCCCAAGCTGGTAGCGCTTGTGCACGCTGACGTCCCCAAAGCGGCTGCGGCGCTCCTTCCGACCGGCCAGTCTCTTCTCTGCCTTCGTGTCCACAGAGTACCAGAATGGGCCCTTCGGGAGCACACAGGCCACAGGCACCTGCAGTGAGGGGCCGAGGTAACACGTGGTTACCAAGCACCCTGGGCTCGCGCCGAGACAAAGAATACTTTTTTTTTTTTTTTTTCAACGTTTATTTATTTTTGCGACAGAGAGAGACAGAGCATGAACGGGGGACGGGCAGAGAGAGAGGGAGACACAGAATCGGAAACAGGCTCCAGGCTCCGAGCCATCAGCCCAGAGCCTGACGCGGGGCTCGAACTCACGGACCGCGAGATCGTGACCTGGCTGAAGTCGGACGCTTAACCGACTGCGCCACCCAGGCGCCCCAAGAATACTTTTTAAAACAGGCAGCTCTTGTCCATGCCTCTCGCTTATCAGTTGGACTTCCGTTTACCTTTCTTGATTTTCCATGGCCTCGGGAGGCAGATAAAAGGGCCCTCCCTTCCCTTTGTTGCTGGGAGTCTGGCACATTCGAGTGAGGTCGGGGCACTGAGCTCTCCTTAGGAGCTTGCCACTCACTGCAGGACCTTGACTCCCCACCCACCTGGAGGGCCATGACTTTACAGGGTCCCTTTCCAGCCTCGAAGGGGCCTGGTGGCTATGAGATCGGAGAGTCAAGCTGGCTACGGGTTGAAGGCCATCCTTCCCGGAGGCAACAGGCAGGAGGCAGAGTGTGGTGTGGGCCGGAGGGTGCTGTCTCGTGATTCTAATCTCGCTTCTGTCAGAAACCGAGGCGCAAAGGAGCCCTGTCTGCCTTCCGCTGGGAGAGACACCGCCATGGGTGCACGGTGGGTTTCCCAAGGCTGAGCTCCCTTCCGTGCGCCCTCTGCCCGGACCCAGCCCTCTCTCGGGGGCTGCCCTGCTGGGTGCCCACAGCTGTGGCCGTGCCAGCCCTGCCTTCTGGCCGCCGTGACGCCCACTCTCACTCGGTGTCCTGGGTTCCCCACCCTCCTCCCCTCCCCCCATTCCCTCTCCTGCCCTCCCTCGTCGGCCTGACCACCGAGCGTCACATTCCACCTGCATGTCCGTTTCTCCGAGGAGCGGGTACCTCCTCAGCCTAGATTCTGATCGCAGGGCCGCCCCCCCCCCACCCCAGGCACACCCTGCCCTCCCTGTTTGCAGAGGAGGCTCAGCAAAGTTTTAGATGGGGTGGCCAGTGAAGGCCTTGCTGAGGTGAGGCTTGAACAAAGACACCTGAGGTGAGGGAGGAACAGAGCAGTCTAGGCAGCGGGCATAGCAAGTGCAAAGGCCCTGTGGCAGGACTGTGGCTACCATTGCGGGAGGGGCCACAAGGAGGCTCAGGTAGCTGAAGTGGAGTGGCAGGGGGACTCTATCTGCATCACGATTTCTTTCACACCCCCCAGAGGCAGGGACGTGGTCGGCCGCATGGCAGCAGATGGGTTCCGGCCGCGGATGGCCGAGGGTGCCCTCCTTTCTGGCTGACAACACCTGCGAGGGTGGGGGTTGCCGAGGAGTGGGCGGCTGGACAGGCCGCAGGAACCTCATCCCAATTAGGGGCTTCGGCCATTTCCTGCCTCCCACACAGCAGGAAACAAAGATGTGTGTTGTTTTATTTCTTCCAGCCCTGACCGTAAGGAGCCAGAGGAACGTGGCGATAGCAGCTCTGGAGGCGGGCGGAGGAGCTGACAGACAGCAGCGGCCTCTAGGGATTCCGGAAATCAAACGTCCCGCTTCCTGGATGGGGAAACTGAGACCCCCGCCGCGTGAGAGGACTTTCCTGAGGGCCTTCCGTTACCTTCTCGAGCATAAAGTCACTGCGTAGCTTCGGGGGGGCGGGGTGACTCTGCTCCAAGGGAGTCCACCTTGAAGGACGATGGCCTGAAACCCCTGGAGCTTAGAAGGAGCCGGGCCACCCCGAGTCCTCGGGACTGGGCCAAACCTCCGGACGGCAGAGTGCATCTCCTCTGCGCGATGCGAGGCCTCCAGCCCGGCCTCTTCGAGCTCTTCTGTCCCTGACTTGTCACGTTGCTTTCATTTGGGAGAGCCAGCACCACCGGCCTCATCATCACGTCTATAATACAGTGGGCGTGTGCCTCCTTTTCCGCCTGGGTGTCTGTGGGCCCCCCCCCCCTTCCTGTCCTGCCTTCCCACCCACCCCCACTTACCCCCATCCATCTCTCAGGGCCCCGATTTTGGCTGCCGGTGCAGTGCACCTCCACCAGAGCTAAGTCCTAACCCCTCGGCTGCGGTAAAGGCCTCCTCTGGGCTTTCCATACACGGAGCCCAAGGGTCTGTGTGCCCCACTTGACTTCCTGTGAGTGTCTCTCCCCTCGACCATGTCCCGGCTAGGCACTGAGATCCGTGAGATCTGTTTCATCCGTCCGCACGGATGGTCCATCTACATGACGACGTGTCCTGCAGTAAGCGTGCGACAGAAGTTTGTCACGTGAGCAAGCAGTTACCTTTGGGAGAAGGCGATTCCCGGGTTTTGAGACAACAGGGGTAGGTGACCCCCAAACCTCTCAAACACGTCTCACTCACAGAGCAAAACGAACCTGTTAACCACAAGGTAAGGTGTTGAAGACTCACATCTTCCACGGTGGGGGTGTGGTAGAAATTTGGGGCCGGGAGGAGGAACAGAGGTGCCCTGGGGTGGAAAAGACCACTCGGAGCATTGGAAAACTGTCCGATTGGGAGGGTTGCTTGGTTTGTCTCTTTGGGGAACCCTGATGAGGTCATGAGACGTTATGACCTGTGTTTCTCTCCCTGCACTGGTCTTGCATGGTGGCAGAGGTGAGGGGGGGTGGGAGGGAGATGGCAGGGCACAGAAACCACTTCCTCCTGTCTTCGTCAGGACCTTGCTGGCTCAACCCACCCCTGCGTGGGGCATTCTCTCACTTCCCAGGGTGCAAAGGCTAAGGAAAAGGGGGGACCCTTGGAAGACTCACGTCAGGTATTCGTAAGCTCTTTGCCATCAGAGGAGTCAAGTCCCAGCTTCGCCCCACAGCTTTGGTGGTGCTCAGACTCGAGATTAACGGTGGATAAATGGGTCCCAGCGGGATCGGCAGCTTCCAGTCTGTTCCAAGGAGGAGAGGAGAGAAATGTCGTGCTGTAGGATCCGTGCGCGGTGCTGGCCCCTTCCCCGCCTCCACCAGGGTTAATGTCTCTGTGTTTGACCCCGACCCGTAGATTAACAAGGGAGGTTCTCGCCGCAGAGAAGGAAGCAGACCCTCAACCCAGGAGCCAAGAATGAAAGTGCTCTTGTTTTGGGAGACTCATCGAACCTATACGATACTCTGATTTGCTTTCTGGAATGTGATCGGCATGGTGGGCAATTCTCTGTGCTTGGTGCATCCCTGGCAAGTTGTTTTGCGGCTGCCACATGAGTCGAGTTAATTACTGCCGTGGGGGTTTAACTGAGTAGAGAAGAGCATCCTGGGCTCCCAAGATGGTCATTTAATTAGGTTAATTAAAGACTGAATTATGTGACCCTCTCACTTTTTTGTATTTGTGCAGAATTATTTTTTACATACTAGTGTAGAAGTCGGCAAACTTTCTCTGGAAGGGCCAGAGAGTAATTATGTTAGGCTTTGAGGTCCATGTGATCTCTGTTGAAACGACACAACATGGCTGTTGCTGCACAAAAGTAGCCAGGGGCGCCTGGGTGGCTCTGTCGGTTAAGCGTCTGACTCTTGGTTTCGGCTCAGGTCATGATCTCACAGTTCGTGAGTTTGAGTCCTGCATGGGTCTCTGCACTGACAGTGTGAAACTTGCTTGGGATTCTCTCTCTCTCTCCCTGCCGCTCAAAATAAAGAAGTAAACTTAAAAAAAAAAAGTAGCCATAGGTAACAAGTTAACAAGTAGGTGTGGCTGTAGCTCAATAAAACTTTATTGATGGGCAACAAACTTACCTTTCAGATCATTTTCATGCATCACAAAATATTATGCCTCTGATTTCTTTTTTGCAACCATTTCAAAATGGCAAAACCATCGTTAGTTTGCGAGTCACACGAGACAGATGGCAGGACAAATTTGGCCTAATGGGCTGTCGTTTGCCAACCCCTCCATTAGTGGATGCCTCAATACACCCCCTCTTGCAAGGAGACAATTTCCTAAGGCAAGCACTGATTTCCAAAATAGAAATGAGTGTTCTGGAGTTTTCTCAGTGATTTCAAAATCCCGATGCAAGATAGACATCTGGCCCCGTGACCAAGCCTTCAGCAAACCGAGCCTGGGCTGGCTGGCCTAACTCAGTGACAAAATCTAGGGTTCCCAGGGTCTTCGGCGTCATCCAGTTCATACTCTAGCCCTTATGTGTGGGCTCCCAAGTCCTAGAGTAAGCGATCTCATCATCCTGACCCTTAATCACTAATTTTCGCACTGGCAGCTTTGAGGCACCGGGAAGACAATTCGGCCTCCACCTAACCTCACTTCCTGATGTTGGACGGAGATGTTTATTCCCCCCCACGCATGCGCCAGAGGCATAAATAATGGCTGGACTCCATCTCTAGGTTGCTGAGCCAGCCATGGTCTTAGGGTCATTTCCCTTTCTCTAGATTTTAGGAGCTGAGGTTGTGGACAGCCAGGGTGGGAGGCTTGGGTCTGGGTGGTATCTTCTCGTGTGGTTCCTGAAAGCTTTTAGCAGCAGCCCAGGATGGTCTCACTCTTCCAACAGAATTTAAAAATAGAGAAGGAAGCAAGCTTGACATAGCCATTTCCCCAGGATGCCAGAGTAGGTATAAAGAAATAACTCCGAATGATTCTTTCTGGGGTCCGCCATGATACTTAATCCTTTTTTTTTTTTTTTAATTTTTTTTTCCAACGTTTATTTATTTATTTGGGACAGAGAGAGACAGAGCATGAACGGGGGAGGGGCAGAGAGAGAGGGAGACACAGAATCGGAAACAGGCTCCAGGCTCTGAGCCATCAGCCCAGAGTCCGACGCGGGGCTCGAACTCACGGACCGCGAGATCGTGACCTGGCTGAAGTCGGACGCTTAACCGACTGCGCCACCCAGGCGCCCCGATACTTAATCCTTAAGACCAGAGCAAGGTTGTGATATTTGAACACCTTTCATGGTGGAAGGAGGCTGGGGAGCGGGGGGGGGAGGCGGTTAGCCTAGCCCAGCCCACGGTCTTGCACATAGTAAGCTTTCAATGAGTGTTTATAAGGGGGAAGGGGTTTTGAAGGCCATGGATGCCAGCTGACCTCCCTCTCAGGTCTCTGTAGGAGCGCATGTTATTCTGGTTGGGGGGGGGGTAGGGAACGTTCCCCTGTAGACCCAGGCAAACCACAGCCAGTCCCGATTTTCCAACCCCAGGCTGCCACGGGCTCAGTGTTATCTCAAACGAGGAATCCAGCTTCCCTGGGCTTTGCCAAAGCCTCCCCAGTCCTTAAGTGTCTGCTTTCTGCCGCATTGGCAATCAGTCCTGCTGGAAGCAGGGATTGCTCAGCAGGTAGAAGGAGCCAGCCCCGACCCGGCTCGGGATGCGTTCCCGGGGTTCTGGAGCACGCCCCTTTGTAAGGGAGAGAAACCCTGGAGGGTTAGAAGTGATGGGAAAAGAGGAAGCTGGGGCTTCAGGTCGCTCTTCTTTTCTTATGGAATAATTATGCCATTTTGGCAGTTTTTACCTTCCTCTCCTTGATGATAATTACTTGGGGGTGGGGGTAGGAAAGAATGGCTGCCAGGGGGGTGGAAGGGAAGTCAGAAAGAGGCTGCTCTCTGCAGGGATCAAACCCTGGAGAGAGATACGCATAGTCTTAGAAGACTGAGAAGGCTTTTAAAAAGATTATTTACAACAGAAAATCTACCTCCAGGCCCTCGATCCAGAAAGCACTTCTCGTCTGGTACAAGAAGGGCGTGTTTGCCTCTTGGCATTAGACTCTGAGCTCCGGAAGGCAGACTTTGGTCTTTGAAGTCCCAGCACCCCACCTGAATCTGGGCATATAGTAGGTGCTCCGTATATGCAGGCGACAGAGCCAATAAGCACTGAACGAGCATGAGGAAGACAAGCTGAGCACCTTTCTTGGCTACGTGGGCAACTTATTCTGCGCTCATCGTGACCCCAGATAGTCCCCACCCAGGGGTGGGCTGTCCGCTAAAAGGAACAGCAGCCGGGACCTGGGAGAGCCCCTTGGAAAGGTGTGAAATGTGTTGAATTTCAATGTTTGCTACAAGTAAATGGGAAAATGCTTTATCGCTGCTCACATGTCTGGTTGTCTTGTCCTCGGCGGTTTCTCTTTAAGGGGAATTTGGCTTTCAGACCCTGGGAAGCTATCAGACTTGGGCTCCCACCGAAGTTCTCATTCCTGGCGGTGTGTTGGGGTGTCCTGGGGGGCTTTAAAAAATTCCAAAGCAAGGGTGCACCCCAGGCCAAATGCATCTGCATTTTGGCAGGTGGGACATCTAGGGGAGTCAGTCGTGTGCCGTCCCGGCCGAGCCCCCCTGACGGCCCCCCCCCCCCCCCCCCCCCCCGCCCCCCCCGTTCTTAAGGGTAGAAATAATAATCCTTATGGATGATGGTATTCTATTGAAGTCAGCACTTTTTACCTTTGACAGTGGCTTCAATAAGTGAGCAAAACCCCTGAGTCTCTGTATCCAAAAGTCATTTAGTTGGATTTGAAAGCTTTTTTGCTGTTTGCCAGCTTTTGAACGGGGTTGGGGAGTGAGGGGAATATTAGAGAAACGCCGTGATTGGTTTTTTTTTTTTTTGGACCAAGGTCTACGTTAGTGTTTTCTGAATCCACAGCTCCTAACGTGCAGCCTGCCGTGTAATAGACACTCAGAAATGCTAGAGTAATTATAGCAGCTGTGGCTTATAGGATGCTTCCTGTTACATTCGCCATCTCATTACATCTTCAAAGCAACCATATAAGATAGGTCATATTCGTGTCTTCATTTTATAGGGTGTGGTAGGCAGACTTCTAAGATGGCCCGAGATTCTGCCGCCTATTATGTATGCCCTGTAGAGTCCCCTCCCCTAGAGTGTGTGCAGGACCTGTGAATATGAAGAGACACAGTTCATCATTACGTCCCATTGTGGCCAAGATGGAGGGATCTTTGCAGATGGAATTAGGTCCCCAATCAGTGGAGTAGATATGAATGAAAAAGGAATTTCTCTTGGGTGGGCCTGGCCTAATCAGGTGAGCCCTTTAAAAGAAGTTCAGTGGACTTGAGACTCAAGTCACGCTGACCGTACAGAAGCCAGCCACCCTGATTTCTAAAGCTGCAAGTAAATGGGCTCAGGCGACGGGCCTCCGATAAGACCCCACGCAGAGGACCCAGCTAAGCTGGGCATTGTTTTAAGCTGCTAAATTTGTGGTAATTTGTTACACGGCACCAGAAAACTTATACACCAGTGAAGGAATAATAGTGCAGAGAAGTCATAGGACTTGGCCAAGGTCACAGGTTAGGAATGGTGGAGCCTCCAGGGGAACCCCGCCATTTCTGACCCCTGGCTGCTTACCCGTGACATTGCCATCAGCTTGCGAAATAAGGTTCATCTGCAGGAACTCACTGATTTTCTGTGAACTATAAATGGGACAAAACCTAGGCGGACACCGAGGCCTGCTGCTTTGTGAAATAAAGTGCAGTCAGAAGTGACAGGGATTTGCCTGTGCCACATAGGGTTTTTGCACATGGTAGGGATCAGGGCCACAGGCACGGAAAGGGTGTCTTTTCAGACTCGCACTCCAAGCCATCCCCACAAGTAGACACATTTGTAAGTCATGCGCAGGAGAAGTGATGATGAAAACTCTGTTAATCAGGACCGGGAGCACAAAAGCCAGTTTACCGAACATCAAAGAGACCTCAAGAAAAAAACAAAAGACATGGCCGTGGTCACATGGTGATGCCCATCTGCTTTGCTCCCGTTGAAAGGGTGCAGACCTGCTTTTCTGAGTTTAGACCATCATGATTATTAGAGTTTCCCTTCTTTAAAGAAAAGCTAGTCTTTACTTCTAGTAGTAATGCACATTTGAATCCAGCTTTTCCAGTGTGTGTGTGTGTGTGTGTGTGTGTGTGTGTGTGTGTAAAAGTCTGTTGGTGGAGAAGGGGTGTCTTGGAAAGTTACTGTGTTGGTCCAGTCAGCCAGAATGTATCTTTCTCTCTTCTCTTCACTAACATGTCCTCTTTCTGCCTGGCTTGTGACTGTGATGCACAGAGGCGAGCAGCCATGTTGTGAACATGAGGATAAGGAGACGTAGATTATAAAAAGCTTGGGTCTCTGATGTCATCATGGAGTTCCCTACGGTCCCGCACTGCCTTCCTCTGGACATCTTGTCATATGGGGGAAACACACTCCTCTCTCTGCTGGTGGAATTTTTTTCATTTTACCCCTTCAGGGCAAGTGCAATTCTGTTTGACATAAAAATCTAAAAAATAAAGCAAGCTCCCCAAGCATTTGAAAAACACTTGGCCAGCTGTCCAGTGTCAACACATGCAAGGAATAATTCAACATTTTTATTATAATTTAAGAATCCTTTTCTGGAGTTGTAATCGGTGAGGGAGGGGGGACTCTGGGATGCTTCCTTTCTTCATTACTGAGTCATGGGAAGAATGCACAATGGATAATGGTGTGGGATGGGGAATAGGGTGGTTGAAATAGAATTCAACCACAATAACGAATCACTCATGGGACCTGATGTGTTTAATTTGGTCCAAGGCACAGAGGACCCAAGAAGAAGTTGCTCTTTGTCTTTGAGTAACCCTTCACGGAGCATCTGTTTGGGGTCTAAAACGTACGTTCAGGTTTGGGGTGAGATAGATGGGCCAAAGCCACTGAATATGCCAGTGAGGCTGTCGCCTGCATCAACAGGGACAGGGTCTAGAACAGGAAGGGGACAGACCCACTTTTCCCTTCCTGGTCCGATCACAGCCACGTCACTGAATTTGGCTCAGGAGCACCCAGACTGCAGCTCATTCACAGAATGATGATGACGATGGTGCAAGAATTAAAACCCTAAAACTCTGTCGTTTGGGGCGTGGCCGAAGGAGGTGGGAGTACTTTGACTGAAGAACCCAATGGCAGGGGCGCCTGGGTGGCTCAGTCGGTTAAGCGTCCGACTTCAGCTCAGGTCACGATCTCGCAGTCCGTGAGTTCGAGCCCTGTGTCGGGCTCTGGGCTGACGGCTCAGAGCCTGGAGCCTGCTTCCGATTCTGTGTCTCGCTCTCTCTCTGCCCGTCCCCCGTTCATGATCTGTCTCTCTCTGTCTCAAAAATAAATAAACGTTAAAAAAAAAAAATTAAAAAAAAAAAAAAAGAACCCAATGGCAGAACACGGCAGTAATCTTCACCTCTCTAAAAGACTGCCCGGCCGAAGAGTGATCAAACCCATCTCCCCTCCTCCCCACCCCGGCTCCAACGGCTGGACTTGGGACGAATGATGGAAGCTTCCAGAAGGCAGTTCTGGATTTGGATTTGCTTACAACGCTGACAGTCACAGCTGCCAACGATGGTCACGTCGCTGCTGGCATTTCGGACCGAACTGTTCCTTGCGGGGCTGCTGGGCCGGGGTCCCCGCATTCACGCGTTGGCTCCTCTGCTCAGTGACGTCACTGACGAATTAAGAAGGAGTTCCTTAGTGTCTATTATGTGTCAGGCTCTTAGCAGTCAGACTACAACCTGGAAGGCCTCTCCACCTTGGTGCTTCTTGGGTGCTGTGAGCACCAAATCTCCCCAGATCTGCCCCACCTCCCCTGAGCGGAGGCGGGTCGTGGGCTAGGGCTGTGGTTGGGATTTCATATAACACATGGCATTCCGACTGGGGAGTGGCTGCAGATTCTTGGGATTCAGTCACCCCAGCTACTCTCTGCCCTGAGATTCCAAAAATTGCTGTGCAAACCACACATTTCCAAGGGAGCCCATTTCGCCCGTTTCTTAAACATTTATGAATCTCCCTCTCTCTCTTTGTCCCTCCCCCTCCCCCTCTGCCTCGCCCACGCATGCACACACACACACACACACACACACACACTCCACTGTTGATCTTTATAGCCCACACCTATGGGTGTTTCCTGCCAGGATCCCTCGCCTGGCAGGCCTCCTGTGGCTTTAGGACTACTGTCTGAAGCAGCGGAAGGTGGCCTCTCAGTCCCAGCTGGGCACTCCTCAAGCAAGCGGGGCCATTCGGTTCAGGCCCCTTTTACTTCTTAAGGCGTCAGGCTTGCGCGATGTAGTGAGAGCAAATTGGCGGCTGTGCAGGACTGTCTGACGCTGGTGAAAGCATCTGTTGGAAAACTTGCTTTGTAATTTCCCGAGCCTTTTGGGGTCAGAAGTGGGTACAAACCCCTAGCCCGATTACTTTCAAGTGGGAAGAAAATCAGAAACAGAAGGGCTCACGTGGGCGCAGCCTGTGGAATCCGAACCTCAGGCTCCCAGGATAAATGTTTCCGAAGCTTCCAGAAGCACTCCTTTCTTAGGGAGCCAAAAAGCACTGGCATTCTCCCGAGGGAACCGATTTGGCCTAGACTGGACCGTAAGTGGGTGGGAGCGCGGCTCGATTCGCCCTCTGCCAACGCTGCTCTGTGAGGCTTGGAGACGAGCTGGAGCGCAGAACGAGGCCCCTTAATGCACTCGCTGCATTAGTGTCTTTGATTATCTCTATCGGTTTTATTCACCGCGGTATTTTCAGCACTGGAACAGAGCCTGCCTCAGAGCGGGAGCTCAACAAAGATTCGGGGAGCGAAAGAACGAATCCATTTTTGTCTCCCGTACACTCCCTAAAGTTCTTGTCACTTAGCTGACTTGGGATAAATGGCTGCTGTGTGAGACAGTAAAGTCCAAAAGCAAAGGGAGCTCTGAGCCCTCAACAGACCCGGAAAGGAACAGAAATTGGGAAGGTGGGGAGTGTTCGGGAATGTGGAGGTGTCTGGAAAAGCCCTGGGCTTCTGTGCATGCCCTCAGCGAGCTCAGAGATGGGAGGAGGCCAGGGGCTTCTCCCACACGCCTTTGAACTTGACAATTTATTCTCAGCTGGGCCTGCAATGAAGATTTTCAATTTGTTTGGCTTCCAGGCTGAGGCCTTTATCCCAAAATAAAGGGTCTCCTCTCTCTCTCCTACTTTTGCTATATCTCTTCTCTTTCCTTACCCTACAATTCTCCTTAATTGCTAGTTTCAGTCCTGGGGAGTAAGACCAACCTTTGCAAAAAAAAAAAAAAAAAAAAAAAAAAAAAAAAAGAAAGAAAAAGTAAAAATTTCCTTTCCAAGCTCTCTCTTATCTGGCTCAGCCGTCACAGCTTTTCATTGGCCCCGAATGGGACTAAAACCAAGAAGACTTTTAGGGAAGCGAAACTATGATTTTCAAAAAAAAAAAAAAAAAAAAAAAAAAAAGCCACATCCGCATAACTAGAACCTTTTCTGATTCCGCGTGGATAGGTCTCTGGAGGTAATTAGGAGAATTTATGTATCCCCTTCAGGCAACTGTAATTTGTCACTCTCTTGAGCTCGTGGAGTGAGTGATAGCTCCATGTTAATGATCAGAAAAGGTCGCATCTTCCACTTAGATGATGATGAGGCTTAAAGATAACTTTTCACCTTAAAAACACCCCCTTGCTTTTCCGTCCCCTGTCAGTGAGGCACGCTTAGCAGAAATGCCACGTAGATGCATTTGCAAGAGGTTTGACTTCTTTAGCTCCAGAGAGCGTCGTGGAAGGAAAGATGACCCACCCCTATGCCTTCCCCAGCTCCCTGGGCGCAGACAGTGCGGGCGGCTCTGTCTGTTTGACTCAAGGTTGGTAAATTAGAGCTGGAGAGCCACAGGGACAAATCACTCCTTGGGTAATAGGTAGGTGAGGCAGGGGAGAAGGGACAGAGAGAGGGGGAAGACAGAGAATTTGCCAAAGGAGAAAACAAAGGAAGCATGCTTCCTACTGGCGTAGCTGCTGTTCCGTGCGTGGATCAGCACCGTGGCCACTGCCTCCTGCTCTGAAGACGCCTACCACTGACGCTAGGTGATTCGTTCCTCATACGACCGCAGTGGCCAGCGTCCGGGGCTCAGGACTGTGCTTTGCTGGGCTTAGAAGCAGCCCAACTCGGCAGAAGTAAAGGCGGTGGTCGAATGGGAAAAGGGTTGCGGTCCCTTGGCCAGAGCAAAGGCCATCCTTGGCCGTCCCCCGGGGACGCTGTGCTCTGTGTTTCCTCCCAAGTAGCATAGCGGACCCTGTCGCAGAGAAGATGAGGTTGACCCTGGGACCCACAACACGGGATGCGGCCACCCAGCTGATAGGCACACACGGCCTTTAATTCCAATCGCTGCAACCCCTTCGGCCCCAGATAACACCTAAGTGTGCCAATTAGAGCCTTCGAACCAGAAGTTCGGTCCTATTCGTGACAGCAGCTCTGCAGACTCTCTGTTTCCTACCCCAGCAGCCCTACCCTTGCGTGAGAGGCCCCGGCTCCAGGACCCCACCGTATAAACCTGAAGGGTGTCTGCAAAATGCACGGGGACCGGGTCGGTAGCCCCGGGCCGGCCTTACCCTTGGCGTCTTTCCGCGGTTCTGTTTTGCCGAGAGGCGGGCCTTCCCTGGTAGCCTCGTCATCGGCTGTGTCCTTAGCGATCTGGACACCTTCCCCCCTCGGCCGCGTCTGCCCATCAGGCAAGGGCTGGTGTGCAGGCAGGTCCTCCTCCTTCCTCTCGTGGGGGACTCTAAGCGTAAAAAAAAAAAAGAGAAAAACCCACCATCAGGTGTGAGGTTCTGGGTGACGCAGCCCCCAGATGGGTGGCCGAGCGTGTGGTTGTCAGAGGAAGTGGGTGAACCCGAACTTCCGGCGTGATGAAAACTCATTTAATCCGGGAAGAAAAGAAATTGACTCTGTCGGCTTATCGTTGCGTATTTGCTTTAGAGCAGTGATGAGGGTAGGGTGGGAATACCCCCCAAGCAGTGGAACGATCGGAGAACAGGTGTTATGCTTCCAGGGATGCCGATGAAGAATTATACACACACACACATACACACACACACACACACACACACGTGTATTACAAAGAACACGGTTCTTACAAGGATGAGACATGGGAGGTTGGGAAACATCCAGAACATCTGGTATTTTTTTTAATATCAAGCAATATTCTTTTTTTTTAATTAAAAAAAATGCTTATTTATTTTTTTTTTTAAAGATTTTTTTTTTCAACGTTTATTTATTTTTGGGACAGAGAGAGACAGAGCATGAACGGGGGAGGGGCAGAGAGAGAGGGAGACACAGAATCGGAAACAGGCTCCGGGCTCTGAGCCATCAGCCCAGAGCCCGACGCGGGGCTCGAACTCACCGACCGCGAGATCGTGACCTGGCTGAAGTCGGCCGCTTAACCGACTGCGCCACCCAGGCGCCCCAAGCTTATTTATTTTTGAGACAGAGAGACAGAGTGCGAGCAGGGGAAGGGGCAGAGGGAGAGGGAGACGCAGAATCCGAAGCAGGCTCCAGGCTCCCAGCTGTCGGCACAGAGCCCGACGCGGGGCGCGAGGGAGATCGTGACCTGAGCCGAAATCAGACACTCAACCGACTGAGCCACCCAGGTGCCCCGATATTCTTTTTTGTGATAATTTTAGAAATTTGAGTATAGCTGACACACAATGTGACCTTGGTTTCAGAAATACAACGTAGTGGGGCGCCTGGGTGGCACAGTCGGTTAAGCGTCCGACTTCAGCCAGGTCACGATCTCGCGGTCCGTGAGTTCGAGCCCCGCGTCGGGCTCTGGGCTGATGGCTCGGAGCCTGGAGCCTGTTTCCAATTCTGTGTCTCCCTCTCTCTCTGACCCTCCCCCGTTCATGCTGTCTCTCTCTGTCCCAAAAATAAATAAACGTTGAAAAAAAAAAAAAAAAAAAGAAGTACAACGTAGTGATTCTACTTCTCTATACCACAATTGTAGCTACCTTCTGTCACCATAGCAATTTCCTCTTTAGGGGGTACAATGAATATGCTGCACATCAAACTGCGTTTTCTGTTTCTTCCCCCCACCCCCGCTTCCCATGATATCAATTTTTTGTATTTGGGGAAATCGGAAACAGTTGTTGATTTTCAAGCATCCTAGTGCCCCCCACTGGACAAGACCCACAAGGTCCTTCCTGATCTGACCCTGTTCCCTTCTCCATTTTCTGTTTCACCCCCGGCCCCCCCCCCCTCCACGACCACCGCCCCCAACCTCCCACCCAGTGCACTTTCACCAGGTGAGCCATCCCAGTGCCCTGGAGATGCTTCTGGCTCTCGGGCCTCTGCGATGGGCTTGTCTCTCCTCTTCTGTCTGGAATGTAACACTTCCCCTCCTTCCTTTCCTCGTGCTCCCCTCCTCCCAGGGAACGCCTACTCATGACTTCCTCCATGGGGCTGTCCGTGACACCCCCCCCCCCCCAGTTCTCACCCTTAGATGTAGACCTGCCCTCCCTCTGGTCCCTGGCATCTTTGAAGTATCTCCATGTTAATAATGACCAGTTGCGCAATAAATGGTCTGTTTTCTTTTTTCTTTTCAATTTTTTTTTAACATTTATTTATTTTTGAGACAGAGAGAGACAGAGCATGAACGGGGGAGGGGCAGAGAGAGAGGGAGACACAGAATCGGAAGCAGGCTCCAGGCTCTGAGCCATCAGCCCAGAGCCTGACGCGGGGCTCGAACTCATGGACCGCGAGATCGTGACCTGAGCTGAAGTCGGACGCTCAACCGACTGAGCCACCCAGGCGCCCCTAAATGGTCTGTTTTCATACCTACTTCTGCTGTTCAATTTCATGTTCTATGAGGTCATAGACTCTACCTTGCACACAGACGGCTCCCCAGCACGTAGTGCAGATCTAGCAAGAGGCAGATCCTCAGTGTCTGTTGGATGGGTGCCTGGATGGATGGAGGGTGGGTAGGTGACAAAGCACTGGGTAAAGGTAGAGAAGGACAAAAGACAGTAGACCCAAAATATGAGTCGTGTGGAAGGGAACGTCAGGGCGGGAGGGGCGTGTATAATCAAGCTCAGATCCGCAGTGACGACCAGGGTCAGAGTTAGGAGCAGAAAGTGAAGGGCGGTGCTTCTGTACCCATGAGGGTCCCAGCTGAGCCTCGTCAGGAATGTGCCCCTCCAGGAAGGGCTCGGAAAGCAGAGCACGATTTTTGCTTTGGCGTGCTGTGGTTAGCGCTACGTGGCAGCATCTCGGGTGGGTTTCATTTTTTTCCCCCGAAAGCCAAAATAATTTAATCTGAAAGCCAGCCTGCTGGAGGTGATAATTAGAAGACAAGGGTTACAGAAATAGAAATACCAGCGTCTACACTTGGAGCCTCATGTTAGCGCCTGTCATTGAGCTAGCCTCGCTGATACTGGACAGAAACCTAAACATTTTTCCGTGCCATCCACGTTTTAAAAAGGTGCGTCATTTTTCCTTCGGGAGTCTCAACTTGGCTCCTGGCATTGTAGTTCCTGAGGCTTCCAATCGCTGAGCAACGTTTCCCTTGCTGCTCTCCAAAGATCTAAGCTGTTCGTCTGCTGCCTAGTTGCAAATAGCTGGGCAGTTTTGCCGGAAAACCAAATTCTTAAGCTGAAAAGAACATCTGCTCTGTGTCTGATCACTAGAGATACCTCCAGCTTTTCTAGCAAGTTGTAACATGTGTACTGACAACCCTCAGGCATATTTTGGCACATTAAGGAAATCTACACTCAATAAATATGTTATTAGACGTGTCTCCAGTGCCCTATTCAAGGACCCTCACGTGCTTCACTCACTCTGAGATGCTTGTTTATAAAGTTGTAGCTGTGCCCTTACCAGGTAGCTATGCAAACGAGAGCGGGTCCACAGGACGCAATTAAGCCTTGTCTTGTCCTCGGTGACTGCCGGGGGGAGCTGGGGATGTCCTCCATAACAGCACTTTCTGGCACTTAAAAAACATGCTCACAAAATGTCGAAGAGAAGAGAATACTTTTTAAAGGGCCCCACGTCAAGGAACCAGTGACCAGATCTCCATCTGTTTCATATCAAATGTGTTTATTATCTTTGCATCTCATTCCACAGCTCTGCATAGTCGGTTAGCAAATATCTTTTGGGATCTTAACTTATGCTTAAGAACATGTTTTTATAAGTGTAACTGGATGTTTGCTCTCACACAGAGACGGTGGTATCTCTTTCTTCACTTTGACTCTCTGCTTTATCGAAACTGTGGGAGAGTGCCCGTGGGCTCCATTCATTCAACACTCAGGGTTGTTTTTTGTTGTTGTTTGTTTGTTTTTTGGGTCTCCCCCCCCCCCAACGATGTCCCAAACTCTACCTTAGAAGTTGAGCGGAAACAAGATAGTAAGTAAATATATAAGTGAAGTAATTGTGGGTTGTGAAAGGTGCCAAAAGGGAAATAAACAAGGGAGCCAGTAACTGTCAAGGACAACCCTTTGGACTGGGTGGTCCGAAAAAGGCTCTTTGGGCCAAAGAGTTAGGAGCTGAGACCTGAAGGGAAGAACAAACTGTTCAAAGAGAAATTAGGCGATGGGCACCCAGGCAGAGGAAATGGTGACTGTAAAGGCTTTGAAACAGTCCAGGACTTGGCCTATTTGAGGAAGAGAAAGCAAGCCAGCATGGCTGGAGAGGACAGCGAGAGGGAAAGTGGCATGAAATGCAGCTGGAGAGAGGCCAGAGTCGGTCAGGCAAAGCCCCGTGGGAAACGTTCAGGGTTTCAGATTTTATTCCAGAAGCAACCAGAAAGCCAGGAGACAATGCCACGCGTGGATTTGCATTTCGTGAGGATTAGGCTGGCTAATCTGTGCAGAAGAGTGGGGAGAGAGGGGACGGGTAGGGATGAGGCTGGAAGGGAGATGGCTGCATCAGCTGAGGTGAGAGGTGTGTCGTGGGAGGTGGGGAGAGGAGGGCGGGATGGAGAGGTTTGGGGGGGTGGGCTTGACAAGCCCCCCCGGGCTGGAGGGAACAAGGGACAGGAAGACTCAGAGACCCGCTGGTGATCTGACCCGAGCGACAGGGGGGTGCCAGTGTTACTTACAGGGAAGGGGCGGTCTCAGGGGAGAAATGGCTGCTTTGTGGAAAGGTGGGGACTGGAAATCCATTGTGAATGTACGAACCGGGAGACCTGTCTCTCAGCTCTGGGTAGAAATGAAGAAGCCTCTTGGCAGTAAATCTCTCGAAACGACAAAGTTTGGGGCGCCTGAGCCTGGGTGGCTCAGTTGGTTGAGCGTCCGACTCCTGGTTTCAGCTCACGTCATGATCTCATCGTGTGTGGGTTTGAGCCCCGGGTCAGGCTCTGCGCTGCCAACACTGAACCTGCTTGGGATTCTCGCTCTCTCCCTCTCTCTGCCCCTCCCCTGCTTGTGCTCTCTCTCTCTCAAAAATAAATAAATAACAACAACAACGAAAGAAAGGGTAAGGTTTATCATTTATCGTTATAACTTTAGAAGTAATGAGACATTTGGAAGAATGGCAGTGGAGCTCAAGACAACTCAAGCTGGGGAGATAAGCGATGGCTCCAGAGTTGACAATAAATCCAGCGAGTGGCAGAGTGCACGGAAATACGCAACCAGGAATCTTCTCCCCTACAACTTCTCGTTGGATCAGACTTCATTTCTGTGCTGGACTAAAACCGCTAGGTGAGGAGTGGGTGAGGGGAGAACAAGAGCTGCTTGTGCTGAGAAGGGTGGCGGAAACATCCGGAAAGGAGGATGAGAATCATGACGTAGACAGAAAGAAGTACTCGGAGCTTGAAAGGCATGCCTAGGGGATGATACAATCGACGTATTTTAATAGTGTCCTTTGAGTTTCAATGAGTGAAACTCCTTTTTAAAAAAGGTTTATTTGTTTATTTTGATAGAGAGTGAGTGCGAGCAGGGGGAGGGGCAGAGAGAGAGGGAGAGAGAGAATCCCAAGCAGGCTCTGCACGGTCCTTGCAGAGCCTGATGCGAGGCTTGAACTCACGAACCCCGGGAGATCGTGACCTGAGCTGAAATCAAGAGCTGGATGCTTAACCGACTGAGGGGACCCGGAACCCATTTTTTAACACGGCAACCCTACAAATGATTTTCTCTGAAAATCACGGATGAGAAAACATGAACCAAGGCATCTGTTAACATTTCTTCAGCTGCGTCTCTGTGTTCCTATTAGTTTTCAGCAGATTCTGTTTGTTTTTCCACCAGCCTGCCTATTTCCGAGTACACGCAGTCCCACTCTTTACTTGGCTTATCTCCTTTTCTGTTTGCTTATCTCCTTTTCTTTTCTGGAGGGTGCTTTTAAGAAGCACAGTATTTGGATCATGGGGGAGCAGCCTGCAGTGCAAAAATGCATCATCTGGAAGTTCTCACTGGCACCCGACTTGCAAGGATCGATTGTCCCTCTGGGTTTCTGGTTTGCGTATCTACAGTCTCAGAGCTGTGCAAGGGGAAAGTCTTTCGCTTTGGATAGAAGAAGCCTAAGTTCTGGAGTTTGAGAGGCCTGGGTTGGTCCCTTAGTTCTGTTGCTTTCTATTCTGTGACTTCAGGCTTGTGACCTAATGGGTCCCAACCCAATGTTTTCACCTGTAAAATGGGTAGTGATATATGCAAGTTGCAGGGTTGTGGAGTTTAGGCGGCATGACTTAGGTGAACTGAGGTGAAGTTCTTCTCGTGGTATGTGCTTCATGCTGGTAACCCCAAGCAGCCCATCATATCATTATTGCTAAGCTTCCAACAAAATGGTCGTCGGTGTGATGGAAAACAAACACTGTGGGTGGCCTGTAAAGGCTGTTGACAGGCATTACAGTGGGAGCGGAGGGTGCCGGGGTGCTGGGTGGGGTTTCTCTGTCACCGTCCAACAAAGTCTGAAAACTGGAAGCCTTGTAGTGTGTTGAACTCATCCATCGGTGAAACTGGCTAACAAATTTGAACTGAACAATTCAACTTAAAAAAGGGAGACAGGGGCTCAGTCGGGTGAAGCGTCCGACTTCAGCTCAGGTCATGATCTCGTGGTTCGTGAGCCCCCTATCAGGCTCCGTGCTGACAGCTTAGACCCTGGAGCCTGCTTTGATTCTGTCTCTTCCTCTCTCTGCCCCTCTCCCGCTCAAACTCTCTCTCTCTCTCAAAAATAAACATTAGAAAACAAAAACAAAAATGAGAAATTTTCCCATGCAACGTGGATCACAAGCAGCCCTTGAGACATCAGAGCTGGTGACGTGGGATCCCCACCATTCCAGACGGTGACTGTCAGCTGTGACTTGGAAGCAGCTGATGCTATGATAGGGGGCACCCTTTTCAGTTCCCAATTGTGCCTTCTCAGCTTTCGGCCCCTCTTAGACAGACTGGTCTTAGATCTTATATGGACTCTTGATTAGCTTGTATAACCTTGGACCAATTCTTTCACTCTTCTAGCCTCAATTTTTCCCACCTGTAAAATGGAGACGGTAATAATGCTTACCCCAGAAGGTCCTTTTTTTTTTTTTTTTTTAAGTTTATTTATTTATTGAGAGAGAGAGAGAATCCCAAGCAGGCTCCCCACTGTCAGTGCAGAGCACGATGCAGGGCTCGAGCTCATGAAATGTGAGCTCATGACCTGAGCCGAAATCAAGAGTGGGATGCTCAGCAGACTGAGCCACCCAGGTGCCCACCAGAAGGTTCTTTTGAGTAGTACATCCCATCAGCAAAAAGTCTTTCCACAGTGCTTGGCATACAGAAAGCACTCAGGGCTAGCTATTGTTGTCATCAGAACGCTTTGAGAATTTGTGGGCTTCTAATGGAAACACACTCTTTGACGGACACTGACGGAAGTTAAACCGTGGGTAAGACAGACTTATGTCACAGGGACATAGTATTTTTGAAAAATGCCACGGAGATTTCCTTTTGCATATACTCTTGTACTTTATTTGCTCCCCACTCTCCTTTCAGGGATAAGCTTTGTGGGTAGATATCCTCTGTTATCTCCACCCTCTACTCGTCCCCATCCTGGAGCTGACTGACTGGGTTGTATCAATGGACTCTCTTGCCTCTGGGGTCTAGGTAGGTTTGGCCAATGGGATGCTCCAGTTGGGGATCCAAAGAAGGAAGATAAAGATGCTGGTATGTATTCCTCTGGCTGGCTCCTTCCCTAAGGGTTTCGCTTGACCTGCTAGGACCCTACCGGAAAGTAACTGGTTCTCTCTCCACACTTTCTCCTTCAGGATGTCATAGGCCTTCCCTCAGGTCATCAGGCCTTGGGTCTAGGTAATGACTACACTGTTCCCCTATACCTCTCCCATACCTTTGCAACACCACTTTGATTTATTCTACGAGGTAAGTCACTGGTTGACGTAGCTTCTGCTGTCTCGGAGAAAATTAGAATCCTTACAGCAGAAAGCGAAGAAAATGGAGTCATTTCTAGGGTTCTAATTTCAAGATGGCACTTTGCATCCACGGCAATGGAGAAATCAGGCTTTGTGAAGAAAGAAAAGAGTTTTCTGCATTTCTCGGGGTCTCCTTTAACATGGAAAGAGTGAGGCTAGATCAAAAGAAAGCCAAAGTGCGGAATGGCAGAGGAAAAGATTTATGGGCGATTTCCACCAGACAGGAAGAGGAAGTAGAAAATGTTGCTACAAGAGACAGGAGGGCAGTTCCGAGATGGTAGAACCTGGGTGTGGTCCACAGCTTGGTCACTGAGAAGCGGCTGCCTCTTCCCCTCAAGCTTCCCCTTTCCCCAACCCACCAGGCATAAGCAAAATTGGGGTGATGAGGTGTTAGGAACCCTCACAGAAAACCACAGATGGTTTGAGGGGCACTCAGCACATCTCGGCTCACCCCCTGCCCTGTGCTTTCCTGCTGTGCCTACCGTGGTCCGCAGGTGGTAATACAGCCAGCGTAGAGGGGTCCCGGAGGCCCAGAGTTTCTGTCTGCCCTGCTGAGAGGACGCCAAGGAGTAAGAGTAGCTGTGTCCTGCCACCAGCCTGTGGTCAGAGCAAGGAAGAGAGAGGCGACAAAGCACCCGGACCTGGGGATCTGAGGGACCCCCAGGGACCCGAAGTGTCAGCAGCAGATGTCAGCTGGACACCCACAAAGGACAGTGAGATCTGCTACACATACGGGAACACCAGCCCAGGACGTCCAGGGATGAGACCAGCTGGTAGCTGAGAACACCAAGGACCCGACCGAAAGGGTGTGTCGGCTTCCCTCTGCACCCAGATACCATGTTGGAGGGAGGAGGAGCGGCCAGTGGCCCCTGGAGAGAAGGAAGAAACTGCCTTTGAAGTGGCAGAGTATTTCCCCAAATGAGGCTGAGTTTACCTCAAAGTGAAAGGGTTCAAACAGGAGTAGAACAAGTTACTCTCGACTGACAAACTTGTTTTCTCTCTGCCATCGAGGAGGAACGGGAGCTCCAGAGGAAGAGAGTGGGGATGACCCACAATGAGCTTCATTTTATCGCGCCTCCGAATGTGTCGTGTACATTTTGATGCCCCGTCCTTGACTTCCTCAGAAGACTGACCCTTTACATGGGACCTTGGTGTCAGAGGTGCTGAGTCACGTGAGGGATGGTGAATGCATTTAATCTACTACAATTGACTTTTCCTTATTAAGTCATCTCAATATAATAACATTCAAGAAAATAATACAGAGAAATATCCATATCCCCTCTACCTTATGGTGAAGACGTTCACTTTTTTTTTTTTTTTATGGCTTCTTTATCCATGTTGTTAAAATATTGGCTAACAGATTGACCGAACCCCGCGTATAAGAGAGCCAGTGCTGTTGACAGCCAGAACTCGTCCCCGGTGACGTAAAGGAAGAGAGAGGTGAGCTGGTTACCTGACATTGTCATATGGCGTCAAGCTTTTGCTTACTTGGGAGACCTTCCAACTAGTGAAGTGGGGCATTCTTAGGATGGTGTCCAGATTCAGCAGTGTTGATAGAATTTCACACTTGATTTCCTGCTCCTTAGCCTTTGCCCTTGTACAAAATCCCAGGACTCATGGGCATCCCTCTCCATCCTTTCTCTGGCATCCTAGACCCTGATTCTGGGGCTCTGGCCTCCTTTGGAATGTTGACATTATGATGTTCATGTTAGAAGGTTGTGGGTGGAGTCCCCAAGCCTGTTTAAACAGGCTTCCGTCCTACAGAAGGGATTTTAGCTCTGCTTACCTCTGCATGTTTTCTCCCTTTTGTGTTCTAATGCACGTGCCATTTTAAGGAGGCGTTTTACTTGGGTCGGGGAGGGCGTTGTGAAGCAAAATACATCCCCCTGTTCTTATGGGTATCTCCCTGATCGGGAAGCAGGTGCTGTTCTAAACAGTTGCCTATTCATGTACCTCCATGGGCTTGGAACTCTAAAGAGACACAGATCTGCCCACATCCATGAGCAGGGGAGACGCCTATTTATTTCAGCAAGATGGCGGACCAGGGTTGATCTGGACGTGATATTATGGATTGGGAAGCTTGTTTGTGAGAGGTGAAAGCAGCTGATATTTTGAGATGTCCTTTGGTTGTCTGTGTAAATACTCCCAAGGGTGTCTTCTCAGCAATCCCCATGGTTGGCAGAAAAGCCTCGGGTGATGACAGCTTTGGGGTCACTTGAGAAGTATTCAACACAGGATGATGCATCTGTGGGCTTTTCAACCATGAAGGAAAGGGGGCTTCTTGGATGAATCCCAGGGAATAAAATGGAGGAAATACCAAATCAAATCTAGACACAAGATCTGTGGACAAATGGGTGCAATAAAGAAACTGTTTAAGACTTTATAGTTTTTGCCACTGACACCCAGGCTTTTTGGTTCCCGACGCCTACCGTATCAGTGTTCCTGGCATTGACAGATGTGAAATCACAGCAACTGAATAAAATGGGAAAAACCAGACTACGACAAATCAGCTTGGCATTATTTCTAACTCCTGTCGGGATTTCCTCTTCGACCCATGAAGAATTGAGAATCACTAAGTTTCCAAACATACAAGGGTAGTCCTAACTGTTGTTTTTTGTTTTGGTGGGGTGGGGGCTGGGGGTTGTAGGTAGGGCAGAATTGAGTTCTTATCTTCTTGTCTTGTGGTCAGACGATAGGGTCCATATGCTTTATCAATGCTTTGATATTATTTGAGATGCCCTTTATGGCCCAGCATGTGCTCAGTTTTTGGAAGTATTCCCTGTAAATTTGAAAGGAACGCAGATTATCTAGGAGTTGAGATAAAGTTCTAAACATGTGGATTTTATAATCTTACTCATGCTATTCAAATATCCAACATCATTATCAATCTTTTGATCACGTGGTCAATCATGTTGTAACAGACGAATGTTAAAATCATACTTTAGGAAATTCAATTTTTCCTAAGTCTATTATGATATCACTTTTACTTTACTTTACTTTTACTTCATATGAAATCACGCTTTCGTACATCCATCAAATATTGACAGTTTCATATGGCTCAACCTAATATTTTTTATTAATTTTTATTATGTGCTAACCTTCTTTGTCCTTACATAACATCCTTTAAAGTTTCTTCCACCTGACATTTATATGGTAAGAACATCTTTATTTCGATCAGAACTTTTCTAGTGCAATCCATGTATCTGTATACTGATGAAGTTCTATTTGGATTAATGTTTGCCATGTTCTTTTTTCTATTTATTATACTTTTTCTTTGCTCTCTGCCCCTGCCCCTGCCTTGTTTTTGACATTTTAGTTAAGAAAATTTTCTTCAATCTGATTATTCCCTGCCTCTAAGTCTTTGGAATTCTAGGTCTACATATTCTACTTCTATAGTAGTCTTACCAACAGACTCAACTCTGATGACTTCATTTTTTTCCAGGGAAACCCTTGGACTCCTGGGCGTGTCCAGGAGTCGAAATATCCCACACATGGATAAACACACCAGTTTCTCCAGAAACCAGGATGCTTTTATTTGGTCACTTGTCAGCCACACACATATATTGGTGGAAAGGAACATAAAACGTCCCTGAGTTTAGTGGAGATCCAAGACCACTGAGGTCCGTCTCCTCTGGTGATGGAATTTAATAAACTGAGCTCTTTCTCTTTTTTTTTTTTTTTTGAACGTTTATTTATTTTTGGGACAGAGAGAGACAGAGCATGAACGGGGGAGGGGCAGAGAGAGAGGGAGACACAGAATCGGAAACAGGCTCCAGGCTCTGAGCCATCAGCCCAGAGCCCGACGTGGGGCTCGAACTCACGGACCGCGAGATCGTGACCTGGCTGAAGTCGGACGCTTAACCGACTGTGCCACCCAGGCGCCCCTCTGTCTTTCTCTTATACTCTCTTCCGTGGCTCTTGCCTGGTCTCTCTTTCCTGTCCCCAAAACTCTGTGCCAGGAAAGACTAGAACTTGTGTGCGGAATTGCTACGATGTAGCGGTTAAGAGTGTGGCTCTGGGGAGCCCGGGGTGGCACCGTTGGGTAAATGTCCCACTCTTGATCTCAGCTCAGGTCCTGATCTCACAGTTCCTGAGTTCGAGCTCCGCATCGAGTTCTGTGGCGATGGCCTGGGGGCCGCTTGGGATTCTGTCTCTCCTTCTCTCTGCCCCTCCCCTGGTTGTGTGCCCCTCCCCTGTCTCTCTTTCTCTCTCTCAAAACAAACTTAAACAGAAATTTAAAAAAAAAAGAATGTGGCTCTCTTGTTTGATGGCGTGGAGCTAATACTCTCCATCTGAATGGCTCTGGGGAAGTGACTTAACCTTTCTGTGCCCTGAGTTCTCATCTACAAAAGAGGGATCATAATGCTTCCTGTTTTGTGCCCCTGTGAAGTTTCAATAAGCTCAAGGCGCTGAAGGAGGTAGAAAAACACGAGTAAGATGTTCAGTAAATATGAACTGACATCCCCGGATCAAAATCTCGGTTTTCTTTAATTTGAAAGGATGACAAGTTGAAAGACGCTCGTCATAGGTGATTGAGTAACAAAAGGTCACAAAACAATAAGTGTAATGTAATTTCATGTTGTAAAAATAGTATCTATATTTACACATGCAAAAGAGATACATAGAATTTCCTAGATTATGGGTTATTTATATCCTCCTTTGTGCTTTCTAATTTCTCTAAAATGAACATATATTCTGTGTAATAAACTACACTTTAAACACGCCTTGAGTACGCCTGTTTATATTTTGTTCTGTGCAGTGTTTAAATTAGTGAGTTACAACACAGAGACTGTGTATACATGCGAGAAGACCACCCTTTGATGTGGTCATTTTGATAGGGTTCAGGTTGTGGGGAGACAGCCAAATTAGATGGGTAATCTCAGAGAGCTTTAGAAATCGGAGGGGCGCCTGGGTGGCTCCTCTGGTTAAGCGTCTGACTTCGGCTCAGGTCCTGATCTCGAGGTGCGCGAGTTCGAGCCCTGCGTCGGGCTCTGGGTGGACAGCTCGGGGCCTGGAGCCCGCCTCGGATTCTGTGTCTCCCCCTGTCTCAGGCCCTCCCCATCCTCATGCTCTGTCTCTCTCTCTGTGTCTCTCAATAATAAATAACCGTTAGAAATTGGAAACTGAGGCGCAGAAACTGAAGCAATTAGCCCTGGTTGGGGGAACGGAAAGGTCACACGCTGCAGCTCGAGACGTGAGTCATGAGGGGCCGTGCAGGTGAGTGAGTGACTACAGAAGCTGGCCCCAAAAACAAGGTCACACACGGCCCCGCCGAGGGGGGAACAGAGAGAAGTTGCCCGAGTTCCCGATGGCTCCCCAGGCTTCAGTACCCGCGCCCCGGGGATGGGGGTCATGTTTCACAGATGGCAAGCAATGCCCGTGGACACCCTCAAATCCTTCCCCCGCTTTGTGAGCTAGCTGGAGTGAGTTTCTGTTTCTTGCCACCAGATGCCCCGGGAGTTTCTGCTGGCTGCTTACCAGGGAGCACCTGCACCCATCATGCAGCCATTATGCATCCACCCAAGCACCCATTATGATCAGCCACTCCTCCGATGTACCCGGTTGTTGATATTTGAAGGTTTTCGCCCCGTTTTCCAGTCGCAGAGTGAGGGACAAGGGCCTCACCGGGTTAGCTCTAGGGCAGCTCTGGCTTCCGGCAGTTCCCAAATAACCACTGGCCTCAACCCATCACCATAATCACAGCATCTGAAGACACTAGAGCATCTCATCAGGAAGCTCAGCCTTTCAGAAAGATGCAAAGTCAGGACATGACCCTCTGTGACAGGGCGCGAAGCCTCCAAGCAGTGAAATAACGAGACCAGGCCTGGTCCGTGTCATTTTACTTCATCTCCAACTGTCCACATCAGGCTGTTGAAACAACCCAAGAAACCTAAGCCTACTGCACCGGGTGGTGGTGACTCCCTCCGATGTCGCTTAAAACCCTGGGGTTAGAAGATATATATTTTTTTTCTAAATACACAGGAGGAAGTTTTCAGTTAATGATAGAACTGGACCTAGAATTTTGGTGTCTTAATTCCAAATTCACCATTTCAGCTACGCATAGGAAGGCCACCCACGTCCCCTTCCCTCCCGCACCCCCAGTGCGCCCTTGTGCCTTGAGGCCATGCTTATCTGGCACCATATTTCTTTCTCTCCCCAAAGATGCTCCATCCGTGGAGAGGTTCCGAACTGGAGCTTTGTGGGACTCCAGCCTTCTTCAGGGAGGAACAGCCAGAAGGATGCTGGAGGAGACACCGCTTTCCCATGGGACACCGTGTGCTAAGAGACTATGGAAGGACCCCCTGAGAAGAGGTTTACAGAGCAGCCGTTCCTCAACTGGGGAAACAGCTACGAGTGCGGGGTCTACAAGAGTGCACACGTCTGTCCCGCGAGATGATGCCCTCTGCCCGTGGGCTGGTCCTACAAGCGTAAGTTGGGGATCATTGGTTCTTATCTTGGTAGAGAAATGGATTCTGATTTAAACACAAAGCATTAGGCACGACACAACTTCATGTAATTCACAAACTCAAGAGTCGTAATTATGTGGACGGAGAAAGGCTGATGTTTGCCTCCATCCTCTTTATTTTGAAAAAGAGAGAGAACAGGGGCACCTGGGGCTCAGTCAGGTAAGCGTCCGACTCTTGATTTTGGCTCAGGTCATGATCTCAAGGTTTGTGAGACAGAGCCCCACGTCGGGCTCTGTGATGACAGTGCAAAGCCTCCTTGGGATTCTGTCTCTCCCTCTCTCTCTGCCCCTCCCCTACTCACATTCTCTCCCTCTTTCTCTCAAAATAAATAAATAAACAAACAAACAAAAAAAGAGAGAGAGAGAGATTGGGCCCCTGGGTGGCTCAGTCGGTTAAGCATCCAACTCTAGATTTTGGCACATGTCAGGATCTCATGGTTGGTGATTTCGAGCCCCACATTGGGCTCTGTGCTGACAGTATGGAACCTGCATGGGATTCTCTCTCTCTCTCTCTCTCTCTCTCTCTCTCTCTCTCTCTCTCTCTTTTTCTGTCTGTCTTCCCCCACTCATGCTCTCTCTCTCTTTCTCAAAATAATAAATGAATAAGTAAATAAATATTAAAAAAAGAGAATAAAGAGAATGAGAGACGCTTAAACGAAAACAGTAAATTTTTCTTCTACTTAAAAAATAGCTCCTTGTATAAGATGATCAATATGAAGATTCAATATTATTACTCCCTATGCATTAAAACGGGTTTCCCAAGTAGTACTGCTTGAAAGAAACTATTAGCTCCAATGGAAATGACTTCACCTATGTAGAGAAAAGAATCCTCACGGATTTCTTAGCTCGTATACTTCTCTAGATGCCTAGGTAACCTCATTCATGTGTTTAGTCATTCAACCAAAGCATATTGAATGTGAGCGTTGCAGCGGGCTTTGCACCAAGTCCAAAATAGTGGGGTTTCTTTCATTATGTAATAGAACAAGTCTGGGACGTCTCCGTGTGATAGGGCAACAGAGAACCAG